TTCTTTGATATGCTGAATCTAACCGTGTATTTAGTTTTTGGATTTTGGGCCCCGTTTTTAAATTGGTCCACATTGAGGTCCAAAGGGTCCAAAATTAAACTTTGTTTGATTTCATCAAAAATTGAATTATTGGGGTTCTTTGATATGCCGAATCTAACCGTGTACCGGTATTTAGATTCTTAATTTTTGGTTCCGTTTTCAAATTGGTCTACATTAAGGTCCAAAGGGTCCAAAATTAAACTTAGTTTGATTTTAACAAAAATTGAATTCTTAGGGTTCTTTGATATGCTGAATCTAAACATGTATTTAGATTTTTGATTATGGGCCCAGTTTTCAAGTTGGTCCAAATCGGGGTCCAAAATTAAGCTTTGTTTGATTTCAACAAAAATTGAATATATGGGGTTCTTTGATATGCTGAATCTAACCATGTATTTAGATTTTTGATTTTTGGGCCCCGTTATCAACTTTGTCCACATTGAGGTCAAAAGGGTCCAAAATTAAACTTTGTTTGATTTCATCAAAAATTGAATTCTTGGGGTTCTTTGATATGCTGAATCTAACCATGTATTTAGATTTTGGATATTGGACCATAATAAGTGAATGTCCAATTTAAAATTTTTAAGTTCTTAGACCACATTCATTCTGTGTCAGAAACCTATGCTGTGTCAAATATTTAATCACAATCCAAATGCAAAGCTGTATCAAGCTTGAATGTTGTGTCCATACTTGCCCCAACTGTTCAGGGTTCGACCTCTGCGGTCGTATCAAGCTGCGCCCTGCGGAGCATTTTATTAATGTTTGAACTACAACACACTTGCAAACGGGATCCTGCAATAGAAGGTGAATATGTAATTCCCCATGTTCCACTCCTTTCGGTTTCCATTGAAAACCGTATCCACTACTTATTTCTCCACGAATATTAACATATTTCAAAGTTTTCTTCCATTTTATATTTTACTGCTCATTCTTTCGATAACTTTATCGATTGAAAACATAAAAACAAGATACCGGTAGTTCAAAGCCAATTAGAACTAATAAAAAAAATCATATTCTCCAAAACTAAAGTATCAATCATTACACATCCAACAGATTTGTAAGGGCCTCGAATGTTAGGTCCATTGATTCAAGTTGATGAGAAGACACAATAGACAGTGAAATAGAATTATTTTTGTATAGCTTTTCTTATAAAGCGTTTATATTTACAACGCAAATAGGCCCAAAGTAGAGATTTTTGTGAAATTTTACAAAATCGTCCAGACTTCAACCAAATTTAGGCTTGAGGAAAATAGAGCTAAAACTAAATATTCAAGTCACATATGTAAAATATTGTAGCAAACATGATGTTAAAAGATCTTTTTTTGTTGACCTATGGGCTCAATATGTATCCTGTCCAAAAAATCAATGGAAACCCAAGTGTTTTCATTGAAATTTCGAGGAAAATTAAATTGAATGCTATTTGTGATGTCATGAAAAGAATGCAAGTATGTAAATTTTTAACAAAAAGGCATATTTCCTATCTAGTAATTGTATGAGCTATAATTTATTGTGATATTGGTCAATAGTCAATAAATCTTTGTTTGAAATAGTAGCTCGAAATAGTGGCCATTTTTGGCCAAAATCCCAAATTTAAAAAAAAACTTCAATGGCAAAAAATGTCAAATTGTGTGAAAAAGTATTTTCTATGATTGTTGGAAGGGGCACATAGCCATCTGCCAGGGTTCATATGACCTTTAACTTATATAAGAAATTCTTGTTGCAATTTACTCAATAACTACAAATCAGATCTTCCTGATATTTGGTAATAAGCTTCATGTGAGGATGCTATACTGTTTGATGCATAATAACTACAAACTCTAATCAACTTCCTGTTAATGACTTCTTATATATTGTTACTAGAACTCAGATACAGTGTGGTAAATGTCCTCCTTCACACCATAACCCATAGTGGTGCTCCTATTAAGGAAGGGAGATATATAACATACATACATACTACAACAGGAAACTACATGTGACATATACTACATGGAATTATAGTTATCTCGTACCATTGTAAAGTCGTACCAATGTCAACTCGTACCACTAAAAAAAAACTCGTACCAATGCAAACTCGTACCACTGCTAACTCGTACAACGGTAAATTCATACCATTGTAAACTCGTACCAACTTATTTAAATGCATTTAAATGGTGTTTAATGATGAATATATACTTTAATTTCACTCAATACCTCTTAAGTCTGTAAAATGTATATAATTTGAAATTACAATGACCAATTTGTAGCTAATTTTCCTTGTCTTATTGGATAGAGAAAACCGTTGCAGATTGGCTTTGTTGTCTCCCTTGAATAGACTCTTTTTAAAACTTTTACTGACAACTATTTGATTTAATTTTTAATCATTCCAAATCAGTAACATTGAATAGATTTGGGTATTTTTCTATTGTTTCTAAAAGGAATTTTATTTAATGAAACAATTTATTTATTGTGTTTTAAAGGTTTAAAATTGTTTATGACCAACAGTTAGCAAGTATGAAATTTATTTTTATACAATATTTATCACATTTGAGCAGAATATGATCACGCCAATATGAAATAACAAGTTGATTAGTTAATAATCAACCAATAATCACACAATCAAAGGCATTTAATATATTTATTAGCATGGTAATTAAGAAATTACATTCGTATTTTTGTCTAAGTTTTCATTAAAATCTGGTATAATTCAAAGATATTTTAATTTTTGTATAAAGCTTAAAAAAAATAATCATAAAACATTCATATTTTTGTCTAGGTTTTCATTAAAATCTAGTATAAAATTCAAGTAATTCAACTTTTTTTATTTAGTTTACATTCGTATTTTTGAATATATTTTTAATGGTACGAGTTTGCAGTGGTACGAGTTCTGATTGGTACGACTTCCCAGTGGTACGAGTTTATGTTGGTACGAGTTAACTTTTTTGGTACGAGTTTACGTGGTACGAGGTTACAATGGTACGAGTTAACTTGCTTCCTACTACATGTATTGGTATCAGTATCGGATTCGATCCGGAACTTGTTAATCATTGGTAATATTAATTATGTTGAAAACAAAAGGATCTGGAATGGTGTAATTTTTAATCTACACCATTGTCGTATATAAGTTATATATAAAGTTGAATTCTTTGATTCGTTGTTTTTACGTCATGCTGGCTAACAAATTGGACCTCGTTATTTTAGTAGTATAGATGCAGTAACTGCTAGTAGTCCTTTGTTAATTTATGTATCATTGTCATTTTGCTTAGTTTGTTCTGTTACCTATTCTGACATTGGACTCGGACAGTTTTACTGTGCGTATTGCTGTGTGTTTGTTTATTCTACATTGGCTAGAGGTATAGGGTGAGGGTTGAGATCTCTCAAAACATGTTTAACCCTGCCGCATTTTTGCGCCTGTCCCAAGTCAGGAGCCTCTGGCCTTTGTTAGTCTTGTATGTTTTTTTAATTTAAGTTCTATTATATGTTTTAGTGTTTAGTGTGATGTCCATTTTCACTGAACTAGTACACATTTTTGTTTAGGGGTCGGCTGAAGCCGCCTCCAGTAGCAAGATTTTCTTGCTGTGTTGAAGACCCATTGGTGGCCTTGGGCAGTTTTTTGCTCTTTGGTGGGGTTGTTGTCTCTTTGACACATTCCTCATTTCCATTCTTCTTTCATTTTTCTCAGGAACTACTACTAGGAACCCTTTGAAATTTATTGTCTGTGTGATCATTTTCTGAGTCAGGGTTCGACATGTAAGGCTGTCAGATTGCTTTGGACAATTGAAAGTCATCATAGGGCAAGTTAAAGCTGGAGTGTACTTGGCTAGTAAAAATAAAAAGTTATAAACAGTGAAAAATGCCTAATCTAGCCTAAATCAACATAAATCATCATATCACCAAGCCTGACGTATTTTACTATTTCCCTTTCTAACTATAGACATTTGTTGTTGACGCCCATCAGATAAGACCTAGCAATTTTAAGAAAACTATCCGAGACATTATAATATAAATTTGAGATCGCTCTAAAATCATTGATTTTTGAAACCTTGAACAAAAGTGAAATAAAAGAAGATTAGACAATATATGTCCATAAATTTGACCCTGATATTTATTTATGAGTTTCCTCTTTCTCCGCAGTCAGCACTATCCTATTTAAGACTGTTAAGGAAAGAGTTACTGTGGGTAAAAATATACGAGATAGAGCCCCATCCAAATATTGATTCCAGGTTAAGCAAAGAGGTCCAGTGTTTTCATTGGAGAAAGAGAGAGCACATTACGTTTTATAATGACATTCCAGAGCCCTGTGAGTTAGGTAGCATAGCAGTTAACTCTGGGGTTCTTAACTTTCTTTTTAAATAACAGAAACCAAAAAAAAGGGGAAAAAGGGGAATAGGAGATTTATTGAATCCTGGAAAAAGAGGGAATCACAGATCGATTGTATTTATTTTTAGATACTGTAAAAGACAGAAAAATTAGTCATGGCAATTTAGACAGCAAACATTAAACACAGAAAACTGCAAAAATGTAGTGTTGTGACCCAAACCATATATCTTCTTTGAGCTTGCTTTTAGGTCACTGGTGAATAGGTGTGATTTAAGTGGCTTGTTTCAACAATTTCAACAATCCACTACATTTCATTTCTTTTCGAATTGCATATATATTGTTTGTTCCATTAACTCACACAAAAATAGGCAAGACAGGTCCATGTTGGCATGTCAGTTTTTATTATGTGATCTTGGTACTTAAGATTTAAAAATGATTCATTGACCTTGTATTCATTTCAATGCACTTGAACAGCTGTTCATTTATATATCAATATGGCAGATTTTTTTTTCAGGTGAGCAAGTTGCAAGTTTTTCCTTTGCAGACATATTTAAATGTTTGGTATAAAGGTTAAAACTAAACAAATTAACTTATAGACATTAGGATAACCAAGACAATCATGATTTGTATATGATATGAGGATTTTGCAGTCTAAACTAATATTGTAGGTGGCTGAAGAAGATGCCTTGACTGAATTGACAGCTCCTGTTTCTGGTACCTTTCTAACATTGATGGCCAATTTAAAACAATGTTTTGTAGTAGAGCAGTCCCAAGGAAATAGGGAAAGCTCTTCAAAATACTCAAGCTTGTTAGAGGACACAGGAAGTAAAACCCCATGGGTTCAAAGTTCTGGTTCACGTACACTGTTTGCAACATCACTTCAGCTTGTATTGAAAGGGTTAATTGACCATGTAATGTGTTCTGGTGAGTTTATCAGCATACATCTCATTTTAAGAAGTTTTATGCATTATCCATATGCAGAATATATGATGGGGTAAGCTTTTTTGAACATAGTATTGGTGTGCACCATGTTTGCCTTAAGTGGCTTTTTTACTTTCCATTCTTCTTCTCCTTCTTCTTCCACGTAAGGAACCGGATTCAAAACTGAATGTGATTGGTTCCGGCCGAAAACTTTGTTCATTGTTGGGCAACACAGAAAGTTCTCTCTTGGCTATTTACATTAGAAATGTTTGCAATATCATACATTTAACATTGGTTTTAGCATTTGAATTTTATTCGGCCTGGAAACTTTATTAAGGTAAAAAATAGGTTTTATGTGCATTCTACAAAGATATGCTGAGTTCTCATCATATCAAAGGAAAGGCAATTTCACAGCAGAAACATGACGCAAATAGCCTTCAAGGCATTTGGGCCCCCAAATGACTGAAATCATCATTTAAAGGCTAATAGGAGTAATTGCCCTTGAATACATATTTATCCATTGCATTGTATAATTTTTTTTTTAAATGCAAGGCGAGTAATACAGGCTCCTTCGGGCCTCTAAGTTTCACACTAAAGGTGCCTGTAATCCAGAAATACCTTGTTTCCATTCAAACTGTTGGCTGTTTTCCGTTTAATGGTCACGCTTGCAGAAAAATCTTCTACCAAGGTAAGATTTTTTTATATTTGTGAAATATTGACTGCATGTATTGAGTTGAATATTGGTGAGTAGGAATGATTTGTTCACAAGTCAACTAATCAGTTTTCTTTTCTTTTGTTAGACCTAACCATCCAGAAAATGATGACACTCAATATTACCTATGTTATCCTTTGAGTACGAAAATAATTACACGGTTAGCCATTCAGTTAGGAAATAATCCAGGAGTGAAACCCTGGGTCTGAAAAGTATTGCTTTCTGGACATACTTCATGATTACATTTTATGTCACTGTTGGTTCACTTACGTAGAAAAATGCATCACTGTGAGTCTGATTGATTTGTTATCTGTACGATTATAGCCAAGGAAATTTTGTAAAAAGCTTGGCATAGATAACGAATTTCAATAATGCAATGCAGTATTCAATTCTATTCATTAATCTTATGCTCGAAACAAAATATTTCCAAATCTTAAAATATCAAAAGTTGAACAAACAAGAAGGAGCAACAGCTTCAACCAGAATGATTAGATCACCATCTTTAGGAACACCACCATGCTACAAAGCATCTTTCTGGTTAAGCTAAGAATCAATTGAAAGATTTCAAACAATGCCAAGGTTAGATAGGGTACAATATATGAATATCTTGAGTTCTTCCCTCATGCAAAAAGACCATTTCTCAGATGACCTCAGGGTCGGTTATTCTCTCCAGGCACTCTTGCTTCCTTCACCAATAAAAACTGATCACCACGAATTAGCACAATAGTGCTGAAAATGGCATTAAACACTAATCAATCAATCAATCAATCAGATGACCTCAGTTTAGATTTATAGGATATAAATATTCAACTACATCCAGTTTAGTTAATAGAATTGAATTTGAATCATAACTTGTGTCATGCATAATGCCATGCTTAATGATTGACTGACTGATTGTTGTAGTTAACGCCACTTTCAGCATTATTGGTCACTTTTTATTGGTTGATGAAGCTGAAGTGCCAAGGAAGAACCATCAACCTTAGACAGGAACACTTACAATCCTAGTCAATTGAGATTGAAGTCGAACTCACAACTTCAGTGTTGACAGACTAGAGATACTAGATGTACTACTCAGACCACTGAGACCCCTCCACGCTTAATGAAAATGAAAGAACCAGATATAACTATTTTGAGGGATCTGTATGTGGTATATCGTAAATGAATATTTTGACTCCCTAGTATGTTCACAACCTCTAGTTGCAGTCTAAAATGTCTGGCACCATTGCTTTATTGCAAGTTTGGTATGGTGGATAATCAACAAACAGTGACCAGTTAATCAACAAAGACAACTTTTTAATGTTTTATAATTTTCTTAAATTGTACTAAGTTTAGAATAGAAAGCATATATCTTAAAGAGGAAGAAATTCGATTCCTAGTACATTGTTATGGAAACTCTGCAAACTCTATATTATTATAATTGATAGATTTATATCTTTTAAAAGTGTTTCTTTTTAATTCGAGGCTTTATAAATATGACTTGTTTGTGTTAAATCAAGACGATAAAAAATGACCATATAAGTTAGTGTGACAGTATTCTTGGATATAAGATTGGTTTATATTATGTTACATAAAAATAGACAAGTTTTAATTTAGTAATTATGCAATATATACCAATTAATTGCATTACTTATAAATGAAATATTATGACTTTATTAATGCATAAAAACTTATTTATTAGAGAAGTAAAGACTAATTTTAAAAGTAGGTGATTCCTAAACACACAGTTAACAGCGCCTGGTGATGATTTATGGCCTGACTGGTTTCAGACATTCTTCAGATCAATGATGCACCAGATAATTCTTCAAAGTTCAAAGGTAGAATGATTGATTAATAGTGGCTTTGAGAAGAAAAACTGGGAACATAATGCAAAGTGTCCAACCTTTTTCGGGAGTAAGACTACAGTGCACATTTTTACAATGAAATAAGTATAAGTCTCAAAGTGCAACGAAAGTGAGCCTACATTGATTTAAAATTACAATTATGGATTTTGTCCAGAAAGCAATGTTTTAAGACCCTGTGTTTAACTCGGGTACCACGATTTCCCGAGAATAACGAGAACAAAATAATATCCCGAAAACAAACTGATTTGTCCCGATAACAAGATTTTACATGGTGTTATACAGCTTAAATTAGTGTAACAGCATACAATTATAAGGTTTAAGACGTTTTAGTCGTGTATAATCAATAAAAGTACAAGTTATCTTCAGGAAGTCGATTTGTATGTCTTGTATGCAAATTCCTTGTTGAAAACAATATGGCGGACTAATTATTCATAAGGTAGATAATTCGACTTGAAAGCAAAGTACTGTGGTACTGTTGCCTCTCTGAGGATTTTTGTTGTTGAAATCGGCAATTTATTTGTGATTTGATGTATTATCTAATTGTGATAATTTTGCAACTGATCTGTGTTGATGCTATTTTATTAATTAATGTTAATGAATGAATTTATGTTTGACTCATTGACATAATACCACAATTACGTATGTTTCTCTCCGGATATATCAAATAAGAAATATAGAGATCAGATTATTTATTTCAAGTACAAATCCAATGTATACAATGGTATAATATACAAGAAATTTATCCAAAAAAAGTGAAGTACAATATATTTTTACATAGTCTTTTCAATCAAAATAACATAATTTGTTTTAAAAATCGAGAAATTATAAAATGTAACACGTCAAACCCATACAATCATTAATAGTCCTAAATAAAATATTCAAAATATAGCATCTATTTTTTTTCTTAAAATTTTGATAAGTGTTCTCTATTATTTATAACCTCATGTCAACATCTTTCTGTATAATACACATATACATACATATATAGGAATATCAATTCATAGTTTTCTATCAGATTTCAGATATATATATACAGTAGACTCCGGCAAATCGAATACCCAAAATGTCAGCTAAAAATATCCGATTACCCGATATATTCAATTAGACGATGAATGTATATTCATTGAATATTCTTCAATAATGAGTAGATGTAATCCCGAGATGTTATTAACCCTGACAATTGCTAAATATGTGAAAGGGCTGGAGGATTGATGGAGTGATTTTTATCAGTTACATCACCACGATGTTTGTGTAAAAAATAATCAGCTGATTATGTAATGATTAAATTTATTTGCAGTTTTTAAATCCTTTATTTATTAAAATAAATCAAATGTCCTGAAATATTTATGTGAATTATTATCTACCATCCATAGTTTGTCTTTATTTGTTTTGTTAGCAAATTAATATCCATTATTTACATTATCACACAGTGTGACATGTGATAAAACTAATTTGGCTATAAATAGATCTAAGCATGTCTGTGTAGAATCTCCAAACTAAAATCGTATTTGTTATAATATTATTTCTTTAAATAATCAAATTTAAATTTATGAAAATAATCATGATTGATAAAATATTATTGCATAAAGTTTACGTTTTCTGAAGACTATTTATATTTAGGTCATAGTTCTAGAGGCTTCCTCACAAATTTGTAAACATCCAAAATGGCGTCCATGACATGTGGTTACTTTTGCACATGTGAAAAAAATATATCTGACAAAAGTCAGATTTCTCTTGTCAAAAGGGATTTATATTTATATTGCAATAAATTATTCAGAAGGAGGTTAATTCAGTGTAGATTATATTTCTGATTCTGTGAACGTTTAGAGTTTAATCAAAATTCTCCAAACAGCAACGTCAACTTGTCAACTGAGTCTTGCATATTTTATAAATAAATTCAAACCATTTGAAGTAAAAGGGCATCTAATTCACATGACAAAGGAAGACAATGATTAAGGAATTGTTCCTTTTATTTAGTAAAAACAAAATCTTCTTGTCTGCAAGATTGTAAATTTGTAACTTCCGGGTCCATTTCCTGTCAGAAAAACATTGAAAATATCCGATTGTGCATGGTTTTGAACAAAATGACCTGAATATTCTTATCCGATTTGCCGATATATTCTTATATCCGATATTCGATTACACGATAAAATTAACATTAAACATATAGGGAAGGGTTTGGTGTTTTGAAATAATATTACAATAGCCTATATATTCGTTTAGCGGATATCCGATTAGGTGGAGTCTACTGTACAATAGAATTTATTTATTCACATGACCATTGGAGGTACAGAGAGTATGCAAAATATGTACACGAATATGCATCTATTTACAAAACATATATACAATACAAAATAATATACATTTTAGCCAGGAGGACTCAGATGTTTAATTATACACTTTATAAACTTACAATTAAATGTTATTTACATGAAGCAAGTGACTATTAAATATAAAATATTTATTGAAGCAAATTGTAATTTGTTTCTTCTAATTTTGAAAAGAGATCAAAGAAAGAGTTATGTATTTTTATTACACCATGAATAGAATTTTACATAAATGAGTTTGATTCTTTTTTTTTCAAGAATTTGAATGATTGTTTTCTCATTTTGTATTTTCTATATCTTTTAAATTATATACTTCCAACTTCTATATTATTTATTTTATTAAAGAAATTCCTTATGCAGTCCGCGGAAATTATTTATTTTATTAAAGAAAATTTAAAACTACAAAGGTATCCTGCACAAGGCACGGGCATACCTTATGCAGTCGGCGAAAATTATTTATTTTATCAAAGAAAATTTAAAACTACAAAGGTACCCTGCACAAGGCACGGGCATACCTTATGCAGTCCGCGAAAATTATTTATTTTATCAAAGAAAATTTAAAACTACAAAGGTACCCTGCACAAGGCATGGGCATACCTTATTAAGTCCGCAAAATTTATTTATTTTATTTAAGAAAATTTAAAACTACAAAGGTACCCTGCACAAGGCACGGGCATACCTTATGCAGTCCGCGAAAATTATTTATTTTATCTAAGAAAATTGAAAACTACAAAGGTACCCTGCACAAGGCACGGGCATACCTTATGCAGTCAGCGAAAATTATTTATTTTATTAAAAAAAATTTAATACTACAAAGGTATCCTGCACAAAACTAACTGATGCATTCAGCGGAAACATTAAAGTTATTCTATTCCCAAAAGTTATTTTTCAGATTAGGAAACAAAATCAGTAAGCAAATGGTAAGGATATGATATTTGACAATACAGATATATATTGAAATGAAGTTTATTCATTGTTCTTATGTCTCTGGATGGGTTTTTGTTTTTTTGAAAGATGTTGTTCTTTCATTTATCTTTCTTTTTCTTTGTCCTATTTTTTTCCCAAGGGATCTTGGTTTGATTACTGTCATTTTGCCATCGCTGGAAATTGACACTTTGTTGTCTTTAGGGACGAATCTCCTAAATCTTTTAAACAGTCTGTTTCTCTCCTTGCTGGTTTTATTTATCCAAATGTTTGTGGGTAGCCGCCAATCTATACTGCCCCGTGCTGACAATAGATCGGAGAAGGTCCTTGTATTGAGTCCTGATGGCATCCTCAATGATTTGTACCAAGTCCAAGAGAGGTTTGGATTCCCATGCAATGGACCTTTTGAGCACATGGTTTAAAGACTCACTGTTGTTGTTAGTCCATGGCTTATCGAAGTGGCCTTCAGGGAGATCGGTCTCCCATAGCTGATGGATATTCTTTTTCAGGCGGTTTTCAAAATATCTATGAAAGCTATTTGTTGATTCCATGGACTGCTTACTTATCTCCTCACTTTTGGCTTCAAAACAAATTATATCATCAGCAGTTAAAAGGCCAGATGTCCCAAAGATGGAGTCCAAAATGACATCTCGGTCTTTCTTATTGACAGCGTCGTCTATAAATTTCTGTTTGGCATTTTGTCGTAAGTGGCGCGTACATAAAATTTGTCCAGAGTGAGGAAATGCTTCTTTAACTGCGTTTATCAAACCTATTTCCTCAACAGTACCAAAGACCAGTTGTGAAGTATCAATACCGCGGAATTTATCTTTTAGATGATTGAAGAAATTGACGAAGCATTCAAAGTCACTATTGTTGTGTATAAATACGGGTCCGAGAAAAATGGGGGGTTCTGAAGTTGTTTCCATATTTTCTGCAAATATGTAATTTATGCTGTAAATACGTTTTTGTTTTATTTACTGTATTATTTATTAATATCGTTTAATGATTATTTGTATAATTCATATTATGACATCGTATTATATATATAATTATGTATTAATTGAAGAAAAATGATTGCATTGTGTAGAGTTGTTTACTGTTTATCTACTGCATTATTATAAATTTGTTTATTTGTCATTGCTTGAACCACATGTGTGTACTTTTGTAATACAGACTGTAAATAATAGGATTAAAATGTACTGATATCATTAAGGGACATCAATTGGAAATATATTAATTATCTTATTTCTAGGCGTTTCAATTTAACAATGAATATACATGTCATAAGTGTATATACTAATTAACAAGTTATTGCAAAAGGTGCTGGACATGTGTCTGTAATCGTTGTTAAGTGGAAAGATCATAAAGACATAATAAATATATCACAGATTACTTATATTATGTTTTAAATCAGGTATTGCATAATGTTACCTTCTAATGAGATAATACGGGTAAAATAAATATTGAATATGAAATTAAATAAACAGAAAACACACCAAAAACAAAAAAGGAAAAATTAAATGATATTAAATATAATTATATTTAAAAAAATGCCTACCTTTTCAAAGATTTCACCCCGTCGAACTCTCAATTTGTGAAACAACAATTCTCACATAGAAAACACAGATTAGCATCAGACCATTTCTCTAATAATAAATCACTCATGGGTACACATTTGGTGTGGACCCATTTCTCACAGCCAGTGCACTGAATTGCATCAATGACACAATCTTCAGTACATTTTATACAGGGATATATCATTTTTTTTTTTCTTCTTTTTTTTTTTTTTTTTTTTTTTTTTAAAGGTAATTTGTGGGTGGGGCTTATCTCGCCCTTTATTTCATAACACCAAGTTGTATTTCTGGCATAGTTCTTGCATGTCATCTTTTCTACTTTCGCTAAAGAGAAAGTTCTTTTTGTCTCTAATGTCTGGCCAGGTATTGAAGCTTTTACTGATTTCGGCGTAAAATTCAGGATTTTTTTTCTTTTTGACGTCTTTGTATGCCTGTAATGTGTCTGAAAACACCAGGACATACATGTCTTTTCTCTTCAACTTCAGTATGTAAGTTCTCTGTGGATGGTCGAAAACTATCTTTTCTACCTCATGGCTTTCTTGCTGTACCCTTTCCTTTCCTGTCGTGCTGGGTGGTGGTCGACCCTCGGCACCTTTAGTGCAGGCGGGATCTTCAGGGATATATCATTTCCTCTGACATTTTTGAAGAATAAGCAACAAAATTGAAAATTACTTTTTATATACCGATGTTAGTAAAATAATACCAAGCCATTGTCTTCATATTTCTTTGAAGAACAAAATTTGAGAAAATTTAGTATTCTGTATTGAAACAACACCAAGCTTTAGTTTAAAAAGAGATATTTCGAGAAAATTGTACAGTAATAACAGCATTTAATCATATCATAAGAAAACAATATAATTACTAAGACTTTGGATCCATGTTTTTTTAGTTAATAAATTGGACGAATCATAATTAATTGCATTAACAATATTTATTAAACACAATCAGATTATCCTATAAATGTAAAATAAAGAAAATTATTTGATAAGCTTAAATACCCGAATGAAGTTATAATAACTGTATTAACTTTTCATCATTTCAGGTTTTTTTTTTTATAGAATCTATTCTATAAAAGAACCAAACTTGCTATACTGACTTCAGCATCACTTTATTTCATTCTATGATCTATTTCAAGCAATAAAAAACACATAAAGCTTAAGTCCAAATACTATTTTACTAATTTTAAGCTCAAATTGGACTGGTAGTAACATATAGGTTATTCAAAGAAAACTACATATGGATATTATTATAAATGGCCTATATACTTATTTTATTCTCAATATCATTGTTGTATTTAATAATTTCTGTTAGGAAAACAAAGTGCTTACCAATAGTCATATTTCACCAGAGTTTGTTCATTGAATAAAAATATATTAGACCAAACCTAAGACATAATTGAGAAAATTGTCCCCCCTTTTTTCTTCAAATTGGAAAAGGGACATTTTTGGTATAAACCATACTTCTGTGGTACAACATAGATTATAAAGAGCAATTTATATATTTTTCAGCTGGATAACTTGCTTAACTCAGTACTTTCAATACTTTTATTTTTTTTAAGCTGTCTACCTTTTGAATAATTATGTCCGCCATATTGTTTTCAACAAGGAATTTGCATACAACACATAAAAATCGAATTCTTGAAGTGAAATTGCATTTTTATTGAGTAAAAACGAGTAATATCTTTAATTAATATTCTTTAATATTGTTAAAAGTAGTATAACACCATAAAAAATCTTGTTATCGGGATAAATCTCTTTGTTTTCGGGATATTACGTTGTTCTTGTACTTCTCGGGAAATCGTGGTACCGGTTTAACTCATGGATTATTTACTAACTGAATGGATAACCATGTAAAAATGTTAGTACTCTGAGAAGGATATCATAGGTAATATTAAGTGTCAAAGCTTTTTGGATCTTCAGTTCTAAGGTGCAGCCATTGGACAAAAGAAAAGAAAACTAATTAATTGACTTGTGGACAAATCATTCCTGCTCATTATCACCAATTTTTGGCTCAATACATGTAGTCAATATTTCACAAATAGAAAAAAAAATTAACCTTGGTAGGAAGCTATTTCTGCCTTTACTACCTTTATAAAACAGAAAACAGCAACAGTTTGCACGGAAACAAGGTATTTCAGGATAACAGGCAACGTTATAGTAGTAATGTATTTTTATCCCTTAAATTGCAATTGTTGAGACATTTAAAGTTTTTTTTCAATTACGGTATTGTCTTGCCTGCGACGAAAGTCAGAATGCAAGACAGGGATTACAATCCAGCAGCATATTTCAGAAGGAAGAAAGCCTGGATGCTTCATACCTTGTATGTAGATGCCTAATGTTATTAAGTTTCAGTCAGTCCATTGTCTTTGACCTTATTTTCATGGTTCAACGACTGCTTGAAAAAAAATTAAAAAAAATTCAAGCATTCATGTGACGTACTCTCTTATTATGAGTGATAACTGTATTTAGTATATATGGTATCATTGCCAGGTCTACATGTCTGTCAGACAGGGTTCACCTAACCTCAACCTTATTTCATGAAACAGTGATCAAGGTTAACTTTTCGTGGTCAAGTCTGTATCTCAGATAGCATAAGCAATAGGTCAACTTTAATTGGTGTATGGAATGATTGTAAGGTGTACATGTCTGACTAGCAGATTTCATCTGACCTTGACCTCATTTTTCATGGTTCTTTGGTCAATACTAAGTTTTTGTGGTTTGGTCTGTTTATCGGGTACTAATAGATCAGCTGTATTTGGTGTATTGTATGATTGTAAGGTGTTCATGTCTGTCTTGCAGGTTTCATCTGACTCTGACCTTATTTTCATGGTTCATTGGACAATGTTAAGTTTTTGTGGTTTGATCTATTTCTTAGATGCTATAAGCAAAAGAGCCACTATATTTGGTGTGAGGAATGTTTGCATGGTGAACATGGTGTCTGGCAGGGCTCATCTGACCATGATCTCTTTTTATGACCTATAATGGTTTACTTTTACAAATTGTGACTTGGATGCAGAGTTGTCTCATTGGCACTCATACCACATCTTCTTATATTTATGATCTCTTTTTATGGTTCATTGGTCAATGTTCAGTTTTCGTAAATTAAGTCTGTTTCTCAGATAATATAAACAAAAGGCTCACTATTTTTAGCTCACCTGGCCCAAAGGGCCAAGTAAGCTTTTCTCATCACTTGGCGTCCGTCGTCCGGCGTCGGCGTTAACTTTTTACATTTTGAACTTCTTCTAGAGAACCACTGAATGGAATGAAACCAAACATGGCATGAATGTTCCTTATGAGGTGCTGACCAAGTGTTGTTACTTTGTAGTGGATCCATCATCCAAGATGGCCGCCAGCGGGGGACTTAGTTTAACATAGGACCCTATGGGAAATACATACAAATGTCTTCTTTTAGAGAACTACTGAATGGAATGAAACCAAACATGGCATGAATGTTTCTTATGAGGTGCTGACCGAGTGTTGTTACTTTGAAGCCGATCCATAATCCAAGATGGCCGCCAGCGGGGGACTTAGTTTAACATAGGACCCTATGGGAAATACATACAAATGTCTTCTTTTAGAGAACCACTGAATGGAATGAAACCAAACATGGTATGAATGTTCCTTATGAGGTGCTGACCGAGTGTTGTTACTTTGAAACCGATCCATAATCCAAGATGGCCACCAGCAGGGGACTTAGTTTAACATGAGACCCTATGGGAAATACATACAAATGTCTTCTTTTAGAGAACCACTGAATGGAATGAAACCAAACATGGTATGAATGATCCTTATGAGGTGCTGACCGAGTGTTGTTACTTTGAAGCTGATCCATAATCCAAGATGGCCGCCAGCGGGGGACTTAGTTTAACATAGGACCCTATGGGAAATACATATAAATGTCTTCTTTTAGAGAACCACTGAATGGAATGAAACCAAACATGGTATGAATGTTCCTTATGAGGTGCTGACCGAGTGTTGTTACTTTGAAGCCGATCCATAATCCAAGATGGCCGCCAGCGGGGGACTTAGTTTATCATGGGACCCTAAGGGAAATACAAACAAATGTCTTCTTTTAGAGAACCACTGAATGGAATGAAACCAAACATGGCATGAATGTTCCTTATGAGGTGCTGAGCAAGTGTGGTTACTATGAAGCTTATCCATAATCCAAGATGGCCGCCAGCAGGGGTCTTAGTTTAACATAGGACCCTATGGGAAATACATACAAATGTCTTCTTTTAGAGAACCACTGAATGGAATGAAACCAAACATGGCATGAATGTTTCTTATGAGGTGCTGACCGAGTGTTGTTACTTTGAAGCTGATCCATAATCCAAGATGGCCACCATGCAGGGGACTTAGTTTAACATGGGACCCTATGAGAAATACATACAAATGTCTTCTTTTAGAGAACCACTGAATGGAATGAAACCAAACATGGCATGAATGTTCCTTATGAGGTGCTGACCGAGTGTTGTTACTTTGAATTGATCCATAATCCAAGATGGCCGCCAGCGGGGGACTTAGTTTAACATGGGACCCTATAGGAAATACATACAAATGTCTTCTTTTAGAGAACCACTGAATGGAATGAAACCAAACATGGCAAGAATGTTCCTTATGAGGTGCTGACCAAGTGTTGTTACTTTG